GTTCTGACAAATACAATGTTTTTTTCGTTGATGGCGTTGAAAAGTTGAATGCAATCACGTCAACTTGCTAGATCTTGCATGTAAGGCAAGCCCATTGCTTACGATCTACCCAACCAGATCTACAATTGCTTGTATATGGGTTGTGTGTGTCCCCAAATGGTTCATGTGCTAGAATATTGGCCTCTGGGGTAGCTATGTTAAGAAAAATGTTTGTTTAAGAGGCAGGGCCTAGTAGAAGCTGGTTAAATTGCCGGAGGCCCTGCCCTCAGCAGGGATGGTGCAGTTCTCAGTTCGTACACATCTCCAGTTAGTAACTGAGGAAAGCATCGTTAGAAAGCAAGACCACTTCACGCACCCAGTCCTTTCTGGGTCTGCACTAAGTTAAGATGCCACCGATGAGGCCCTCAGCACAGGCTGGACAGATACGGCTGCCTGGTCTTCAGCATCCCAAACTGTGAGCTAAATAAGACTCTTTTTCTCTACTACTCGTCCAGCTTTGGGTGGGTCACTCAAGCAACCAGAAATCGCCAGCCAAGACCTAATTCATCTGCCACTTCATTCAACAACAACAAGAAGAAGAAAAATAAATAAATACATAAATACATAAATAAATATATAAATACATAAATAAATCAGATTTCTCCCATTTTCCTCCCCACTACATATGTACACAAGCTTCACGTACACTGGCAGCTTCTCTTGGGAACAACTCATAGCATACTTATCGCTGGATGCTTACCACATGGCACAGCGCCAAACTGGAAGCAGGTCTTAAATACATATTTACTCTAAAGGTGGCTTACGTGTTCAGAATATGGTCATCGCTACAGAAACATTAAAAGAGTGAAATTTACCCTATCTGGCCTTAACCTTGGTTGATCTCAGGTCCAGATGAAGATTCTTCAATACCCTAACAAATTATAAAAAGAGAAATAGCAAAGGCCTCAGTAAGCGGGTGCTTGCTCAGGATATCTCAAAGCAGCCATGTTACCAGTGTGGCCTGGATTCCTCTTTAGGTGGTAGTGGAAGGCATCAAACTGAGCTTCTATTCAGACACTAAGCGCCCGACAAAGTTCTAGTGCTTCAATACCGTAAGTAGCCGCGCACTGGGACAGAGACACCCTGTGATAAAGGGTTTGCCTCCCTGTGCCTTTCCTGACTTTGCTGAGCTGGGACCCACACATCCCCCAAGTTCCTGGTACATTTCATTCAACCTGTACCATTATAGCCTATGATTATTAGAACATAGGCTTGAAAGTCAGATGCCCACTGTGGGGCTGACACCACCACACGCTTGCTGTACATCACAGAGGAAGCACCTCAGCCTCCCAGTCTTTCTTCACGTCCCCCTTACCCAGCTCAGGCCCCACGGAAAGGAATCGTCATTTCTACCTTATGTGATTTCAGCTACAGTTAAATTATCTGTTTTGTTTTTTTTTTTAAGTTTGCCCAGTACCTGACACAGTGCTGGTTACTGGTCTTAGACTAGCTCAGACCCCTTTCCGACTTTATCTGCCCTGGAGATGTTTCCTGCTTTGCTCTTTCTGAAATTTACTCAGAGAGTAACGACAGTGAAGATGGCGGGGATGAGAACTACAAAATTCCGCCCTTCTGTAACAGCAGCAAAAACTGAAAAAAACTGTCAGAATCCTCTTTTGCAGGGTCCTGGGAAATCACAGAAGGTCTGCAGCCCCCTAGGGAGCGTTTAGACATGAGAACTGGTTTTAGAGGCGGCGAGAATGGTGTGTTTGTACCGTGTTAACTGACCCTAGTCCATTTTTCACTTCAGTTGTAGCTATGGAAAAATAGACACATTCTTGGTACAGGAAAGAACCAGATAGGCTGTGTTCAGGATGAGTTATTTGTACTGCCAAATGGTTTCTTGGAAGACTGTCTCAAACGATTTGTCTTTGTAACTTAAGAATTCTTTCTGGGCTGAATCTGCCACCCGCGAGGCATAACTGGACTCTTGCTACCTGAGGAACTAGAAACCCATTGGGGCAGATGATAACACTAACTGAAAAAGCCAAGGAATGAGAAGTCTGGGAGTCTTAAAAATCTCCAGCAGATCCCCTGGGATCTAACGTCCACCCCGTCCAGCCCCTGCTTAGGAAAGGTCTGAGAGAGCCTTGAGCTCCTGTCCCAGCTACATTGATGTCCTGTGCTAAGGCAGGTCAAAGGAGAGAGCAGAAAGGAAATTAGCAAATTGTTTGCAGATGAATGAAAATGAAAATACAGCATGTCAAAAGATCCCTGAGATCCCAGCCCTCAGGAGGCCGAAGCAGGAGACCGCGAGTTTGGGGACAGCCTGAGCTATATAATAAGACCTTTTCTTAAAAACAAAACAGCTAAGGCATTGTTTACACCACGAATGTGCATGTTTCTCCAATCAGTAGCCGAACCTTATACCTTAAAATTAGAAGGGGAGAAAACAACCAAAATCAAGGAGAAGGCAAGAAATAAGGAAAATTAATAGCACGTTATTAGAGTGAGAACCAAAGAAATACAGCAAGTCATGAAGCAAAATCTTTTGAGACAATCAACACACTTTGATAGACAATCAACAGTGAATCTTTACTAAAACTGACCAAGAAAATAAGATAGGAAAGGCTTTGGGTGTGGCTCGGGGTGCTTGCCTCGGCTGTGAGGCCCTGCTCAACTCCTAGCACTGAAAGAGAAATGAAACGAGAGAAGTTTCAAGAAACTAATGTCAGGAGGAAATTGGGGGCCATTTCTGCGGACGGTGGGAAGTTCTATAGGTAGATGGTAGCAACAGAGGTACAACATTGAGAGTGTGCTGTAAGCTGCTCTATGTTAATGGAGCAGAGTGTATGTCACGAGAGCTGCGTCCCAATTATAAATTACAAATAGTTATTATGATACAAGTTGTGGAAAAGACATTGACGACTATTAAAAGCGAACAAAACATAAAACAACTAAACAGAGTATAAGATTGCCATCTGTCAAACCAACTCTCCGTGCTCAGATTTCTTCTCTCATACTCTTCTCCCACACTGTAATCAGAAGTCATAATTTTAGTTGAAAACATAATTGGATTCAAAAAGGAGATGCCTTCCTCTAGCTCCTTTTTCAGATAGTAACTGTCTGCCATATTCAAAAGATGAATATCAGTGCAACCACTAGAACTCTCTCGAAAAGCAATTTATAAACCAACACTTGCCGCCAATCAAATGTCTTTCAGCACTTGTATCTAGCTAACAGGATTGCAGAGGGCTGGGGAGACCTACAAACAAAAGCATTGGCCACATCCTCCAGGTAGCTATCCTCTTCCCGTGGCCATGCCAGGTATCAAGAACCAATGTGAGGCCGGAGAGATGGTTCAGAGAGTAAGAGGACTCGTTGCTCTTGAGAGAACAGGGCTTGGTTCCCAGCACACACATGATGGTTTTCCTGTGGCTACCTCTAACTCCAGTTCTAGGGATCCAACACCCTTTTCTGACCTCCACTAGCACCAGGATCACGTGGTTCACATCCTTAGATGCAGGCAAAACACTCACGCATAAAATAATGTGAACAAGTCCAATTTAAAATGTTTAAGGAACAAATACGAACAGCGTGTTGGTGGCGACATCCAGCAAGAGAGGTGGTATCCAAAGCTGTCTGCTAGCAGACAGAAGGCCCGTTGGTTAACCAGAAGACAACCAAACTGTCAGGTTTGCTGGAAACACTATTTTCCAGTCTCTAAGTCTTACTGGATCCCGTTAAGAAGTTTTAAAAACAAATAATGAATCCTTTTCAGGAGACATCACAAAGGTGACTTCCTCCTTGATGTGGCAATTTGATTGTCCAGGTGCTCCACTAGAAGGCTTGCTCACAGTTCCCTGGGGATTAGATCAATTCACTGAGCATAGGTATTTCCCAGCACCCACCTGCTAAAAATGTAGCCATCACGGACCACAAAGATCATGCCCATGTAGACACAGATCTTATACCCACACACCTCTTACAAGGCCAGTGTATAAGGAGTATTCGAAAATCTAGAACCTGACTGGTCAAACAACTATCAGGATATAAACAGATAGCCCCCGGGGGAATCCACTTACTCTTTTAATCAAGTAATATAGCATTGTGTTTCGTGGCACTTTAATGCCCTGAGGGTAAAAAGCATTATCCGTGTAGCCTATAAAACCGCAGGCACAGCAGAATCATTAGTTGGCCGTGGTAGCCTTTCACGTGAGCCCAGCTGTGAGCTCAGAAAGCTGTAACAGGCGCCAAGCAGCCAGCAGCACTGAATTTGAACTACAATGGAAAATGGAACCCGTTTGCAAAGCTGGAAAAGAACCTATGTTGTAGACTTTGAAGGATTAACTTTTAAAATGTCTTCTGTTATTTTTAACACTTTGACATGTGGGTTATTTTAAGGTTTTGTGAGCACATTTCCTGGCAGAAAGACCAAGTTCAAGAATTCTAAGTTTAGATGTGGCGTTGTTTGGGACGATCTGTCGATGGCTAGCAGATGTGAGTTTATCGTGTGTCACTTGTTTTCTGTGATCTCAGCAGACAGTAGGCCGGAGAAAGATCACAAGTCCAACCCGGGCTGCATAGGGAGACCTATTCTCCCTCCACCACATTTCCCCCACAACGTCTATTGTTTCTCAGGAGCTAGGTCATAGGTCAGGAAAGAATGTCTGACAGGGAGGATGGTGGTAGAGATGGGTAGAGGTGGGGAGGAAGCAGAAAGGGACGAGGAAAAGAAGGGCCAGGAGAGAGCGGCAGTACACAGAGGGACCCATCCGCGAAGACCGCAGTCTCCATAGTGCTGGGGAAAGGAGGGAAGGCCACAGCCACAGGCAACCCCCCACTCCCCAGCACCTACTTAGGATGCTTGAAGGCCATCAGGCACCGCTCGTACTTTCCCACCATGCTCCAGGCCATGACCAGGCCATCGACACCTCCAGAGACGAGATGCCACTCGTTAAAGAACAGGCACTTTACGGCTCCCTCGTGTCCCGTGAGTGTCTGCAAGAGAAGATGCCACTTCTTTCAGACCCTCTCCATTCAGACTGTCACTCCTCCGCTGGCCAGAGCTGGAGGCTTCTTTAGCTGAATCCCAGTGCTATACTCCCCTCCTGCATGAGTGCCCCACCTTAGCGTGTCCTTCAGCTGACTTAACTTCTCTAGGAAGGCCAGAGAAGCCCAAGCCTCCCTGTTAGCACCTTCCCCACTCAGGAAAAATTTGAGTAAGTTAAGTTCTTGTTCTGATGGGTCAGCGGCTGGAACAGGCACCATCTCGCTGGAGCACAGAGAGGCCTCAAGTCCCTCTTCCCTGAGCTCTTTGCCACTTCTCGGAGGGTGTGTATGGGCATTCTTGTGCCCTTAGCTGAGGCTCAACCACAATGACAGGACTGGTATGGGAAAATCCTACATTTCACTGTGGTCCTGGCACAAGCGAGATCTTGCTAGTACCCACCAAAGCCAGGAGTCCAAACCCAGCAAGAACGTTTGTGGACACATGCTGTGATCTGAATGCACCCCAAAGAATCCAGGTGTTAGAAGTTGAACCCTCAAATTCCTAAGTCAGTGTTGGGCTTCTGAGAGGGCTAGCATTGTAATGTTCTGCTCTCGAGAATGTATTCATCTGGTCAAGGGCTTGTGGCCTATCCCAGGAGAGACTTTGTAATAAGAAGAGTTAGTCTCTGCCATGCTTCTCCGTCTCACCATCTCAAGCTCGTCTTCACCATGGCGTGGCCCGTCACAAAGGCCTCTACCAGATGCCAGCACTGCTCTTGGATGTCTCAGCCTCCAGAACTACGAGCTAAACCACCTTCTGTGTTAGCCTAAACAACCTTCTGTGTTAGCCTAAACCACCTTCTGTGTTAGCCTAAACAACCTTCTGTGTTAGACTAAACAACCGTCTATGTTAGACTAAACAACCTTCTGTGTTAGACTAAACAACCTTCTATGTTAGACTAAACAACCTTCTATGTTAGACTAAACATCCTTCTATGTTAGACTAAACAACCTTCTATGTTAGAATAAACAACCTTCTATGTTAGACTAAACAAACTTCTATGTTAGACTAAACAAACTTCTATGTTAGACTAAACAACCTTCTGTGTTAGACTAAACAACCTTCTATGTTAGACTAAACCTTCTATGTTAAACTAAACAACCTTCTATGTTAAACTAAACAACCTTCTATGTTAGACTAAACAAACTTCTATGTTAGACTAAACAACCTTCTGTGTTAGACTAAACAACCTTCTATGTTAGACTAAACAACCTTCTAAGTTAGGCTAAACAAAAGAACTTCTAATGGCTTTCAAGATGTCAGGTGTTCTCTTATCATTAGTAAGGACAAAAATTACTTTTTCCAACACTCAATTTTTTTATTTTTTGCTTTACTGAAATTAGTGGTGGTGGGGCTTCCTTAGAAAAAGAAGAAATAATTTATTGGTGAAAAAAGAAGCATGTGTCCATTCCCTTGCCATCACTCGGGCCAGGAAAAGGTGCTTTTCCTCACCCGCTACAAGGCCCTGGGGCTCATAAACTCTGCAGCCTTCATCCATTGACAATGGGGAGCACGATGCGGGGTGGAGCCTAGGATCCTGACCTACCCTGAATGTCTTTGGAGATACTCTGATTTTCCCTGGTTTCTGGCTGTAACTCAGTTGCTTGAGGGTGGTCTAGGGAACTGTGCGGAGCGACAGACCTTCATGCCCCTTCTAACCGGTCTCCAAGGTTCCTACCCACTGGCTGCTCACCTTCAGCAGCTGAGCTGTGGCAATGTGCCACACCTTGACTATGCCTCGCTCACAGCTGCTCACGATGTAGGTCTCGCTGATCCTGGCAGCCAAGATGGGATCTTTGTGTTTAAATGTCTTCAGGCACTTCCCCGTGTCTATGTCCCATTCTGAAGGGGAGAGGGTGACAGGAGAGGCAAGGGGAAGGGGACAGGATTACAGTGAAGTTCTGCTCCTTGTCATGCAACTGAGCTTACTGAATCTTCCCCATAAACCTTCACCTGGCTGGTACCCCTTCTGGCTCCCCTGCCAACAGACCCATGGGAAAGCCAGCAATGCAGGGGGTCTTCTCTCTGACCCTGGAACTCTGCCTTGGAATGGCCCTGCTGGACAACCAGTGTGCAGTAAGCCTGGATTATGCTTGCTGTTGAACATAGTTCTTGAAAGTCAAGGCATAGCTAGTGCCATGACCCTTCCAGGTGCTCTCTTCCTGGCCACGCCTTATATCCACAGAAGGCGAGTTGCCATCCTTTCTTGGCGTTTCTCTCTCTGACAGAGTGATGCATTGATATTTTGCTACTTGTGAACTTGGAGCCTTAATTGGGCCTTTTTAAATGCTGAACTCAAAATTGTATCCTGATCACTCAGTTAGTTTGACGAGGTCAGGGCCTAACTCCCCTGTCCCCAGTCTCAGCCCCACTGGTGGTATTCTGTTGATTCATCATGCAGTCTCCCACACCAGCCCTGTGACATGGGTCACAAGGCTGGGACTTGAACCCCTGGCCCTGGACTTAGTCAGAATGCCTCATTGAGGGCCTTGGAGATGAATGCTCTCAGATGGTTTGGAGGCTGTGACTGCCTTTCCATCACAAACCCTCATCTAGACAGTTTTCACCATGACTTTTGCACCTCACAAAACCGTGGTGGCAAAGAAAAACATATAGGCATCCTCCTGAATATTAACCTTCATCAGGCGATGAAAGGAGACAGAGACAGAGACCCACATAGGAGCACCGGACTGAAATCTCAAGGTCCAAATCAGGAGCAGAAGGAGAGCGAGCACGAGCAAGGAACTCAGGACCGCGAGGGGTGCACCCACACACTGAGACAATGGGGATGTTCTATCGGGAACTCACCAAGGCCAGCTGGCCTGGGTCTGAAAAAGCCTGGGTTAAAACAGGTCTCACTGAACATAGTGGACAATGAGGACTACTGAGACCTCAAGAACATGGGCAATGGGTTTTTGAGCCTACTGCACGTATTGGCTTTGTGGGAGCCTAGGCAGTCTGGATGCTCACCTTACGAGACCTGGATGGAGGAGGGTGGTCCTTGGACTTCCCACAGGGCAGAGAACCCTGATTGCTCTTTGGGCTGATGAGGGAGGGGGACTTAATTGGGGGAGGGGGAGGGAAAGGGGAGGCGGAGGTGGGGAAGAGACAGAAATCTTTAATAAATTAAAAAAAAGTGGTGGCAATGACATTCGTTCAGATGGATAAGGACATGGCAGTCGGGAGTGTGACTCCTTTGCTGGGTCTGAGCGCTGTTATTTCCTATGTCCTTTCTCTCTGCCTATCCCTCATAGGGAGTGACTCCCCAGGTCTCTGTTTTCTCTCCTTCCTGCTTTCCTGAAGATGCTTGATCCACGCTTAGGTCTTGTGTCTTTCATTATGAGTTTATCCCACCACAGTCACAGGTTCCGCATCCTCAGATTTGACCAAAGACCACAGATCACAATATTTGGTAATGAAAACGGTATCTATACTAGACACTGTATACACACACACACACACACACACACACACACACACACACAGCTTTTTTGGCATTGTAACTAAACAATAATAAACAACTATTTATGTGGCATTTGCATTTTGTTATGTGTTATGTATTATCTAGAGGGTTAAAGCATACAGGAGGATGCATAGGAGTTCAACACAAGTGTCCTCTGTTTCACATAAGGCACACATGCATCCCCAGATGTGGTTGGTATCCATGGGAGGAGCTCCTGGCATCAGTCCCCTCTGGATATATTGAAATAGGCAACTATCAAAGCCCACCTATCTAGATCCCTCTCCCAGTGCATCCGTTTCCAGGAATTTCTCCCTTGAATGTCCTCATGAATCTCATTGCATTTGCTCTCTAAGGCTGCTAGAACATTCTGCCTCAAGGTTTCTGGCTGACATACAAGTGGATTGTCTCTTACAGACGTGAGACATGATACCACATGACGAAAGTCAAGGAGTCAGCATGAGTATTGCTCTCCTACAGCGAGGCCAAAGGAAACTCATTTCTCCATGGCCTTCTAGAAGCTACCCTACCCCTTGGTTCATGACTCATTCTTCCACCTTCAAAGTCAGCAACCTCCCACCTCCCCAACCCTCTTTCACAGTCAGACTGCCATCGGATTACAGTCAAAAACACTTCTTTTTTATGGAGCCACACAAACACATCATCCCACCATCAATAATAATCCAGAATAATCTCCACATTCTAAGGTCATTAACTTAATCATACCTGAAAAAAATCCTTTTCTGCTTCCCAAGATGATTTAGTCCATATGCTGTTGCTTGAATGAAACACCTGATGTATGTGTTTACAAAGAGAAGACTTTATTCGGCTCAGTGGCCTAAAGGTTCCAGGGCATGGTGCTAGCTACTAGCATCAGCTCAGCTCTGTGGGGGACTCTCTTGGCTGTATCACATCATGGTAGAAATGCACGTGTGTGTGTGTGTGTGTGTGTGTGTGTGTGTGTGTGTGTGTGTGTAAGGAGGAATACTGCTGAACCAGAAGCTAGGGAGCAGCTGGAGTCTCCTGATCCTTTCTGTGAGCAATGCCCCAAGTCGGCCCCAAAACTTCCCAACCATATTCTTTGTCACTTCTGCCTGCCACAGTGGTGACCAAACTTCCAACACTTGAGCGTTTAGGGGAAACACAACCTAGCACAAGATAATATAGTCACCAGTTCCAAGGGTTAGGTATAAACATTTTTGCTGGGGCATTGCTCTGCCTGCCCTACCTGACTCGTCCTAAACTTGAAACGTCCATGGCCTCCTCTCTGCTTTCTCTCTACTTTGTTCTCCCTCTATAATGTTTGTGATGTCTGTGAATTGTATTTTTTCTAAATGGCATTATTACTTGCTTTTATAGCCTTCTTTTTATATCCAGTTAATGAGGAAGTCCTGGCAATTTCCCTTCTGGAAGTCTCTCACCTGGGCCATTGACTATGAAGCTACATCCACCTGAGTTTCCTCATATTTGCTTGTTCTCAAGTATTTTGAAGACACGGTGGTAGTTTTCTAAAGTATCTTCATTTATTCCCTATCCCCACACAGTCACCCTCTTCCAAGTTCTTCTAAACTCTCACCTGAGTTACTGTCTGAAGTGCATATTCGATCATGTCGGGGCCACAGGTAAAAGCACACCTGGGGCTTCCAGGCTCGGTTCTGCATCGTGTTGCAGAAAGCTCTCCATAGCTGGTCCCCAAAGGAGCTTGGAAGAATACCCAATACCACGCACAGCAGTCCGGTCACAACAGACAGTGTGAAGGACTCAGTGCAGCCGGCTTCATCCTCCTGCACATCTGTCTGTCCTTCTTCACGCTCCTTGAACTATCTCCCACTGTCTGCCTATGAAACTACTAGTCCTTCCGCTCACACTCACGTGGCATCCTGCTGATGGAGTGTTTCCTAATTTACCCTTATTTCCATGGTCCCTTTGAACACTGCATATAGTTAGAAGCACATGACTGAGAGCCAGTCTTTGATTCAAATCCCTACTTTTTCTTCTTGTAGCTCTCTGATTGTGACTACTTTTCTGTCTCGGGTTGAGACGGTAGTGTTATTTATCAACGTGACAAAGTCCAGAATCACCTGGGAGATGGGCCTCAGAACACGTCTTTTGGGGATTATCTTAATTATATAATTGAGGTGGGATGATCCACCCACTGTGGGTGGTACCATTCCCTAGGCAGGGATTCTGAAGTACTGTTGGCTGGGTAGATTGACAGACGTATGGACAGATGCACAGATAAGAGAATAAGGAGCAGGTATAGAAACGAGTGAAGCACAAATTGAGTGAGGTGGAAGGTGCCTGAAATTCCAGACCCCCAGAGGCTGAGCTAGGAGGATTAGGAGTTCAAAGCAGCCCAGGCTATATCCCGAGACCCTGTCTAAGGTGGAGAGGAGGGAAAAAAAGAAGGGGAGGGGAGGAGGGGCAAGGAAGAGAAAGGGAGAGAAGGGGAGGGAAGAGGAGAAAATGAGGAAATTAAGGCAGATTTCTTACCTTTCACCTGTGCATCTTTTGCTCCAGATACAAGCCTGTTCTTATATAAATCCAGGCAAGTGATTGTCCCCTGGTGGCCATAGAAGATTCGTATGCAAGCCCCAGTTGTCACATCCCAGTATCTGCGGAAATGGGGGTGGGGTGGAGATTTTCTGAAGGCCCCAAGGGTCCTATTGTACAGGGTTCATTTAAATAAGTAGGTAGTTAGTACGCAGTAGATAGTTAGTAGGCAGCAGGGCCTTGCCACCATCAGCACTGGTAAGATCATCCTCACTGAGAAACCAAATCAGCAACGTGTGCATTTCAGGACAAGGTAAGCAAGTCTGCTGGGCACAGACCAACCTACAAAGCTCAGAATCATTCCTCTGTCTACCCATAGCCAAACTGAAAGCACATGGCTGTGACACCATTCTTAGTTAAATGGAATAAGAGTGCACAAGTCTGTTCTA